AAGGGATTTTCTCTGTGGCATTGAAGTGCAAAAATGAATGCAGGGGAGAAACGCATGCCATTGCTCAGAGTCTTGCATGTGCTCTATCTAACTATACTTTAACACAAAAAAAGCTCATCACCTGAAGCCCAACACCCACTTGTCCCAGTTTTCTGGTTTGTACATGGGTAAATTCATTTAGTGTTGACTGTGACACTAATCTGTCTCTCTTCTTTGTGTTAGATAATGAGAAGCCCATCAGTTTTCCAGTAGGAGGTAAATGTTTTCTTCTTTTTCCAGTAGCATATTTCCATAATAGTCTCTAAGGGGGGGTGGGAAATAATCTCGTGGTGGTTGTTCTATAGAGAGAATCATCTGAGATGTAGCAAATGTGTGAAGTAAAATGTAAGCAATGACTGCCAAGGCCTGTACAGGGTTTGGGTGGATAAAATGGTCAAAGGGAGAAAATCTTCTCTTCAGAAAGTCTCAAAGGCCAAAATTGTCTTTACTCATGAAGAAAAGCTGTTCTTCAAGTGAACAGTGCTAATGATGTGTTCTGCTTCTTCCTACCATGTGTGAAGCATCTGTCAAAAAATTAAGCTCAAGATATTTTGGAATGACTTTCTGAGGATGATTTAGATTTTCTTCTCTCTCTCTCTTTCTGGAAATAATAGTTCTGTTTGAATAGTAATTTATACTTCCAGCATTATTAATCTGATCATCTCAGCTATGATGATAGATCACAGCAATAATGCTTTTGTAGGTGAAAAGCCCTGGTTTTGCTCTAGTTCTTTCACAGAAAGGTATTGAGGGAATTATAATGCTGCCCTGTTCTCTGAAGGTTACCTCTTTCAAATTGGCATAAAGGAGTTTAATAGCAGAGAAGCACAGCCCAGCGACCCTCCTGCCCTGGAGCACACAGGGCTTGGCGGTGCCCTTCACTCAAAGCTCCCTTTGACTGCAAGAGGAGCAGAGTTTGGGGCCACCTCTGCAGCACAACCTGTTTCTGTAGCAGGTGTCAAACTCTACATCACTGTGGCGGTTGGGCAGGCGTGGCTGCTCAAGGGCACAGGGATGTCCCCACTGGATCTGGGGCTGGTGCCAACCAGAGCATCGCTCAGCACCGTTGCTCTCCGTTGTGACAGACCAGCACAGCTGGAGTGGCCCAGGAAGAGAAGAGGCAAACAGGGTGCTTGGCTGCTGGGTCCCAGGGAGATTTTGATGTGTTCTTTCGGGTGTTGTTACAGTTTCTTATGTTGAGCTCACCTGTTTTTAACTGCCAGTAACAGCTCTGGTCTGGGACTGCAGCACTCCAGAGGGACCATGTTGTGAGCCTGTGCTGGTGCTGTGGTTCCACATGGAACCGGTCCCCTTCATGTGCCAAGTGTCCCCCTCCACCAGAAGCACCTGCCTTCACACTGGGAACGGGCAACTGCTGCACTGGCACTACCACTCCCCCCCCACCCTCAGTCCCCATGTGCAAGGCGTGAGGCCCCAGGCATCTAACAGACAATCAGATCCCTTTTTGCAAATCTTTTCCTCACAAACTTCTTAGTAGTTTTTATCCATTTCCATCCTCTGGCTGGAGATACTTTCCAGGGATCAGTGCTCGTGTTCTGTGCACTTCCTCACTGCAGGTAGTTCACTTGGGGAAAGGAAGCCAGGTGTGGCTGGGGAATTACAGATTGGATGTTTGAAACACTATTGTAAGGTATGTAATACAATAACGAACAAAATACAGACAACTCTCTTTTCTTTCTCCAGATGCTTATAGACTGAGGAGTGGATTACCTCCTGGTAAGTGCTTCTCCTTTGTTTTTATTCAGAATAATTTTATCAAGTTCATTTCATATGTAGGTTCATAGCAACATTAATAAATACATATTAATTGTGGATGCCCACTTGATATACAATTTAGTTTTTATTATAACTATTTCAGTCCACATATATTTTATCGTGAACTATGAACTCTTGAAAACAATCTTGGTCCCTTTTCAGAAGTAAAAAATTAGTTTACTTCCTGAAAATATATGTGAAAGATCTGGAAAAGCATCTATTTGTAAGCTGAAGGAAATGAATGTAGAAAAAAAAAATAAGTTTACCAGTCCTGGGCTTTGCTGTGCGAAGTGGGACACAACCAATGACAATGCCTGTGCTGCAAGGAGGAAATCCCAGGGCACTGCAGAGACAGAGCTTGGCATTGCCACGAGCTCCCACAGAGCAGAGCAGGCGCTGGCTGCTGCCTGCATAGGGGAGACACTAAGGCACTCGTGGCTGTATCCAAAAAAGTCAATAAGCAACAAGCAGGAAGGTTCCCTGCTTTAAAGGGTGGGGAGGGATTTGCAAGGCACAACCCCAAACCAATGAAACATTGGAAAACTGTTTTATTTCAGGTCGATGGCGCCCTGAGCCCCAGCCTGTCAGCAACAAGAAGGTGTCAGGAGGTAGCTATTCACAGCTGCGTGTGAGAGGAGCAGGGGTGGGTGTGCTGGGTTCAATGCTGGGTAGCAGCCATCAGAAATGCAGCTCTAAACCCTCCCACAGCTCAGGCTGAGCAGGCTACAGTCCATCCCAAGAGAAATAGGCACTGGACATTTTTTTTTCCCATTGGGTCACCTTGTTTTAAGCAAAGCTTTCTGTGGAAGTCAGTGAAGAGCTTTGCTAAAAAGGTTTGTCAAAGTATTCTTCCTGGCTAATTAACTGACTTAGAGAAAAATGTTTCATTTTTACCAATGTTTCTCCTGACTAATTTTAAGTATTTCAGTTGTCAGGCTAAGAGACAAAACGAGAGCACAACCTCTTGGTAAGTAATGTATATGCTAGAGATGCATTCTAATAATATAACTATAATGTATGGTTTTTCATACAATAATATTTTTCCTGAGTGCATCAACTTTATGAAAACCCTTTACCTCTTCTTGCAAACCTTGACTGGTTCTTTCTGCGTAAGTGAAAAATATCCATGTAGCCCATGAGAGAGCCTCTCTGGCTCGAGGATATAAGCACCAACAGAAATTACATACAACAGATTTTCAGCCTCAGGTTTTTTAAGGGCTCATTTGTCCTTAATAAACTCTTAGTTTAAAAATCTGTTGTCTTCATTCATATCAAGATGCCATGTCTGGATGTGCTTTTCAATAATTATTACTGTGTTGATTTTAATCATTCTATTCTCTAAAAGCTATAACTAATATTTATGTATAAATTGATTAAGTAATTTTGCTGTGGCTATCCAAAAAGCATAGGCTCGATTTTTCTTTGCATGCTAACATTGTTCTTCTGGCTTTTCAGCCGATGAATATCCACAGCTTCTCTTGCAACTACCCAAACAAAATGAAATAATCTGTTTAAATACTGATGGAAAAGCACAACCCTCTGTTCACCTGCTGTCGGATCCGGAGCAAGGTGAGTGAGCCAGATTACTCCTGATACCAAGGACAAGGAGAGTCACTTTGGTCTATGAGAGCAGCTGGTGTCTTTGTGAAGGGCCATATCATACCTGCTGCCTTCCAGTGACGGGAGAGGCTGTGGTTCATTTTTCCTTTCTATTAGGCAACATTAACTTTCACTGTGCAACAGCTGAGGGCACTTCCCACGTGTCTGGTTGTGGATCCCCTCCTTCTCCTCCTGGTGTCACATCCATGGCCTTTAGGTATTTCCACTGCTCAGCCACTGGGGGCTTCTGAGGATGCAGAGACCTTAAACCCCATGGTCCCTGTATGCTAATGGAAATACGCACACTCTCAACACACCACAGTTTTTCTGTGGTCTTGTACTCAGAGCTGTGGCCCCTCAATCCAGTTGTCAGCTGCTCTGATTATGGAGCAGAGACACCTCTGTGAGAGTAGGTGGCATTGAGAGGGTAAATGGATGCTGGTGACCCCACCACAGCCTCGGAGCACATGGAGCTGAAATCCAGAATGCCTCCCAAAACTAGATTTAAGATCCTTAAGATGTTTCAGCAACAAAGCTGAAGCTGTTTTATTAAAATCACTTATACCTTAAAAGCACACTCACAAAGTTGTGTCAATGTTATTAAAGGACTCACTGTGACAGGGAAAATTTGGAACAGAACGAATCACTTTGTGCAGTTTGAAATTACCTATGTGACTCCCCCTGTGCGAATCCATGTCTCCACAAATGAGATCGTCCTAAGCCACAATAAGGAGAGCACTCAGCTGCCATGGACAGAGTCAGCCACCTCCACCATCCAGGGGTAAGAAACGTCACCCTGTCCTTTCCCAACCTTGAAAGTGTGAGTCAGATCTTTTTCATCCAGGCCTCCACTATCACTCATGCTATTTGCTTCAAGTAAGTGCTTCCAATTGTCCTTATCCAGTCAGTAACTCAACGTGAGCTGAAGCAGAGCACCTTCACAATCCCCCATTTCAAATACAGAGAACAAAAAAGGTTTGGTTTTAATTCTCCGTGCCTGTGTAGGAGAATCAAAACAACTGCCCCACCAGCCTGCCTTTCTGCTTTGACATCAGAGGCAGGACATTTATCTTCCAAAGAAAAGGACCCACTGCGGCGCGTAGCAGCCCCCGTGCCACCGCCGAGCTGGCTGCCACCAGGCACTTTGTATTCCTCCAGCCACAGAGCACTTAATGCGAAGTGATGGCTTTGACATTTACTGTCTCTTTTATACAGCAGTTGGCTCCACACAGGCTGAAGTTTTCTTTCTCCTCAGTATTGGCAGTAACTCACATCTGGGTAGCTGACGTTTTTTTATGGGAAGGCATAAAGTGTTTGAATAGTTGTCTGTAACTAAATTCCTGCTGTTAGAGAAAAGGGTACTTTAAATGTAGACTTCATTTGTCGTACTAATTAGAGCAGGATCCTTCACTACCACAAGAGCGAGCTGAATGTAACGAGTTCCACCAGCTCTATTTGCATTGCCAGAATAAATCTTCAGGAGGATCTGCTGTTGGTCTGGGGCACACAGCACCCCCTCCCTTATAGGCAGTTCTAGACAATAACAGAAGTCCTAAACCAACTGCTTTCAATTATTTTGGTAATCCAAACGGAGCCAAGAACATGCTGGATTTATGCCCCTCTATGATTTGTTGCCTGCCAAGCTGAGTGATTGTTCTGCTTCAAACCAGCACCCAAGCCCCCACAACCACAGCGCTTTGCCCACCAGCACATGTGGGTGAAATTTTGTCCAACCTGATCTGCAAGGGAGAAAAATGACAGTGGGGGTTTGTGTTCTGCAAGCACAACTGGGGTCACAATAAAATTAATGGGTTAGAAGAAAGGCAGGGTCTGAAAAAACTTGTCAAATGTCCAGGAAAAAAGTATTTGACTTGTTCATAAAATAGATTGAATTATTTTTTCTAGTCTAACTTTTTTCTCATTAAAATGACCAAAACATTTTTTTCCATCCAAGCATTTTCTGTCATTATGAATAATAAGGTGTTTTCATCAGCAAAAAGTTCTTCTGTGTTGGTGTATTTGCATGTAACCTGGTATGGGAAAGATCTGCTGTGCAGCGTAGAGTGAAAAGATATGCTGCTTAATATTTTGTAGCTTTGAAGTAACCAACAAATCATGAAAACTGCAGAGACAAAAGGCAAAAAAAAAAAATTATTTTAATTAATTAATGTCAGCTAGTTAAATACATATTCTTTCTTCATATTCTTCTTGAAATAACATCACCATTTACTTCCTAGGTTGAGTGTCTCAGTTGAAAAGGAAACAAGTGTTACAGCATCATTGTCTGATACAGTCACAGTAAAAATTTCTTTTGTGAAGTTTCCAGATTATTTCCTTGGGCTGTATTTCTTGAATACTGACCGTTTTTCTGGCAGAGTCAGTGGACCTCTGGGTATGTATCATGACAGATGTATGCAGTAAAGGAGGATGATCTTGGAACCAAGCTTCTGCAATGAGAATATAGTGGGAGTTTTTCAGCCACATCATAGGCCTTTATTCAGATTTTAATGGGTCCCTGGGTCCTGTCAAGCTCTCAGGAAAAGCAGTGGGCAGGCCAGGCAGAAAGGAATGCTGAAATTCAGGGGTTTTCTAGAGAAATGTTACATTTAATTTAGTCTTTTCAGACATCTAACATCACCTTTCACTGCACAGCAATCCAGACACTAATCTGCGAAGATGGGAGGTCTTACCCTGCAAACCTAACTTATTGCTTTTCTGCTCCCAAGTGATACAAACCTAAATATACTGTTATGGGTTTAGAAAATGTTAAAATAATAGTTGGGCTTAACCTCAACAGTGCTGTGGAATGACATAATTTATGCAGCAAATTCATTTGATGTCAAATAATGGACTATAAATAACGGACATAAAATTGTAAACAATCAGGGTTACAAAATGAAAGCCAGCTGGTCCTGAACATCTCAACTCCAAAAATCCTGGTGGGACTAAAGCTGAAGTTCTTTCAAAAACTTTGCAAACAGAGAGGCTGCATGTTTAAAAACCACAAAAATTAGTGTGAAAACCCATCAGATTGGGGCTGAATCTCTCAGAGGAGGAGTGTTAGGGATAACAGGAGATCACAGCTGAAGCATGGGAATTAACTTACCAAGACAGCTTCCAAACGTGGTTGGGTTTCTTTGCTTTCTGAGGCAGATAACTGCTTTCCTGGTGTTATAGCTGCCATTTGAGTTAAATGAACAACAATACTCAGATGTTTTGTATTTTTAAATAATTTGTGTGTTTGTTGCTTAGGTCAATTTTATTCAAAAGCACGATTTGAGAATAATTCTAACATCAGTCAGAGAGCTGACGAAAGACTCCTGCGTGTGTCTGGGTCTGAGCACAAAGCTACCAGGTAACAGCTATGGGCTAAGGGTGAGTGATGTACGTGCTCTGAGATGCATTTTATCAGCTAATACCAGAGATCAAAAGAAATGAAACTAAGAGAGTGTTTGTCTGTAAGAATACACCTCTTTGGTGTAAATAATGGGAATTTGTGCTGGAATTTTTCATAACAGCCTGAATTTGTTGCTGGTGAAGTGATGCTACAGGGCTCAAGGCTCCTACTTCATGAGGGGGGTACTAATCAAAGCCTGGGGCTCTGGTTGGCATAAAAAATGCCAAATGAAGTCAGGTTCTGCTGCCTCATTTACACGGGTCAGGGAGGGTTTTTCCTCAGCTGAATTACCATGAGAAGAGATTTTTATCCTTCAGTTGCGTTTAGTAAGTGTCTGCAATGTGGAAGAAATGCTGCAAGCGTGCAGCTTCTGCTCTGTCCCTGTGTGTCCCCACCACCGCTGCCGGGAGTGGAGAGGTGCCAGCTCTGGCCACGCACAGGCCCTCTGCCTCCTGCTACCATCTGCAGACATAACGCTGATTCTGGGGCTGCCCTTCACTTATTTTATCACTTTTTTGTTTTGTTTTGATTTTGTTTCAGGCAATACAAGAAAGATTACAGGCTTGAGTCAACCACTGATCATGTTTTCTGCTGGTCAATAGATCTAACTCCCTAGAAAAGAGTATTCTGGGAAAGAAAAGTAGGCAAATGGTGCTCCTCCAAGTATTTTTGATACTTTTTGTCATCAAGAAAACCACACAGTTAAAGCCTTACCTGTTACTCTACATAAATGTCACAAATTTTGAACTCAAAATAATTATACTTTTGAGATGACAACGTGCTTCTTTGTTGTTTGTTATTTCAAAATGGTTTCTAAATACTCAGTGTGATTATGAATGAACTAAATAAAACTGACATTATCAGCTCACAGTTTGGACACACAGGCTTATGTCTCCTAATAAAAATAAGTAGTGGCATCACCCAATCCCACAAATGAGTCATGCAAACAGTAACAGATTTCTAAAATTGATACCTTCTATCCAGTTGCAAATGACAGTGTTCTTGAAATACGTGTTTTGTAAAAAGAGTATGAAGGATCAGTATCGGTATTTTAGTAGTAGTAGTTTAGTATTAGTTTACTATTCATTTTTTATGTTATGGAAAAAAGCAGTCATCTTCTATTGGGGTCCTTTTGGAGATGGTTCTGTAACAAGGTTCACAGCTGATGGAATTAGCAATAGGATGACCCGAGGGGATGGCAGCCCACGCTGGCTGCAGTCCCCTTCATCGCTGCAAAGTTTCTGAGGCTCAGTTTTAAAAATGTCTGCAAAACAGACATTGACTTGTTGTGAAACCACCTCGGACTTGTTGCAAACGACAGCATTTCAACCCTGAAACTTAGCAGCCTTGTTTGGCACCGTTTCGTATGACATTTTGCAAACATTGGAAGATGTTCTACAAATAACGAACAACTCAAACCAACACGTGGTGCAGGGAGGTAACATTTCAGAGGAAATGTACACACAGATGCCTCTGCCTGTGGAATGCAAGTTGTAATTTTAGCCTTCAGTTTTCATAAATTTCGATTCCAAAATTATTTTGTGTTTTAGAATTTCAGTTCCTGTGTATCTTTGAACCCATAAATATGCCGGCATTGTAGAAGGTTTAACAAAAGTTGCTTTCTATTCTGCCAATAATATGTAACTGGAAAAAACCTTATTATTGTAAAGCAATGTACTAAAAGAGAAGGAATTTCTTGCCAAATCAGAAAGATAAAGCGAACTGTGTAATTAGAAGCCTGTTTTTAAAAAAGAATTGTGTAGACACGATGCCAAGATATGTTTGTGCGAATTGCTGGTACTTCCAAGATGCAGATTTGGAGATGCAGATTTGGCTGGACAAATTACACAACAGACAATGTGGAATTTGGAAACTGGAAACACCAGATTGCTTGCTTCACCACATCATAAACAGGCTTACCAATTTGAAAAGCAGATTATTTCCATTATAAATGAAGTTGGTATCTGAATTACATGCTGTTGGCACTGGCTTTTATCAGCAGACTTACTGCAAATTAAAAATTCCCTGCTTTCAGCTACAGGGTCTCTATGTGTTGCCTCCTCCACCTGCCTGCTAGCTGCAGGGGTAGCAAATAGCACTGGAATCGGGGAGCAGCGAGGCACGGCTGCACCTTTCACTGGTCCCCTCCGCTTTAAGTGAGGCTCAAGTGTGCACAGACCATTCTTCAGAGCTGCTCTTCTAACCCATCTGCTAAAACCTGCAGTGCCCAAGGTTCCTCAGGCACCCCAGGCAGCTGGTTTTCCTGTCAGTGCAATTCTCCTTTGCCACAAAGAAGCGGACCCTGCTAACTTGGATAGATGGGAAGAAAACCTGATGTCAGCCTTCCTCACAACAACTTTTTATGTAGTTGGGGTTTCTAACCCCTCTTCCTACAACTTCTCTGCAAAGCTGTTCCTACCCTCTGGACTGCACCCCACGTGTCTGCACTGCGCTGAGGTGCTGTGCCCAGAGCTGCACAGGGGACTGTGCCCAGAGCCACCCCTGCCCCATGGATCCTCTCGCCAGCTGTACCCACAGGGGCGTCCATCTTCTGCAGCAACGTGTCGTTGGTGTGTCCGGCTCCTGCGACTCCCAAAGCCCTTCAGCAGAGCTGCTCCCCTCTGCACATCTGCTTTCTGTTCTGTAAGTATGTTCCATTTCACTCTTTTGTCACTTGAATTGTGTCTTATTTTGTTGTTTAGTCACTCTCCTCCTGTCCTTTCCAAGCCCCAAAGTGAGTTCTGATGGGCTTCTGATTTCCTACGCACCCTTCCCTTGCTCAAGAAGCTGAAGGCAGACACAGTAATGAATACTTTGCATTCTATGATTTCTAATTCTGAGGGAGGATACACAGTGTATCCTCTCTTTTACACTCCTCTCTTTTAACCAGCATTGTACCAGTTGGTGGTAGGAGTAAAATTTTTATCTAACTGTAAGCATCTGTCTGCCAGTTCTCTCTCCTGTTCTTGTCATCTTTAGCTCCATTTGCAGTGATCTCCTGCGCTGCAGGGATCTTGGAAGAACTACATCTTAAAAAGGGGATTTTTCTATCATCTCCACCAGCATAAGCAGCAGTTTTTCAGGCTGCCACGGAAGCCATGTATAAGCAGACTGCAGCCCCTGAGGTCAACTTCTGGGTGACAATTCAGTCACAGCCGACAAGATTCCTGCCACCACTGGAGATTTGCCTCATCCCCATGCATTAAACAGGAAAGCTCTGCCTCAGGCTGTGCCTTGTGCTTGAACTTAGCCAGCCAGGTAGGTCAAGATCTGCTGTCCACTGCTGGTTTTTTTTTGTTTTCATGGAGCAAGTGAGGACAGGACCAGCCCTGATGGGCAGTACCACAGCTCCTATCTCAGGATCCATCATAGATCATTGCTTTATTTTATTTTATTCCGTCTAATTAATTATCTTAGAAGAAAAATTCAGAACTGTTTAAACTTAACCTTACCAGATCCAATTTTCTGGTCGTCTTTCATGCCTTCCTGTTTCTCTCCCTGCTTTCCTCATTTTTCAATAACTTACTACCTTCTGTAGAAAATACTGTTTTCTTTCCTCATTTTTGTCTGAATTTAGCAGGCAGAGATATTTAGTCCCTGTGATAACCCCCCCTGCCCACAAGAATGGATTTTATTTTTTTTTTTCCTACAAAACTTCTGCTTTTAGTAAAGGGTTTTGTTCCTGGATAAGGCCTGTCTCTCCTATAAATTTAACAGAAAGTATATTTTTTTCCTCTGTCTTCTTTTTCCTTTTTGATTTTTCTGTTGCATTTTTGTTCACCTCTACCTTTGTTGTTCCAATTTAAGCCATCACATCTTATGTCCTCTCTGTTTTCCCACTGCACTCCTCTTTCCTCATGTGTGTCTGCATTCTAGTTTCCCACACAATGACTTTCTTCTCCTTGTCATGTAACAGTATGGAAATTTTCTACTTTGTCATGTGAGACCACAATTGTTTTGCTATGGCTGATTTGATTACAAGAAAACTCAGAGTAAATAATAAATCTGCTTCTTTTCTGCTTTAGAACTAATAGGTTACAATTTCTTCCAGTATGAAATGAATATATAAATAAATGGGACATTTCTTGCCCTGAAATACATACATAAATTCTGTGATGGGAACAAATGGAGGAATTTTACTGGAAGATGGTAAGGCTCTTACACAAAAAAAAGATACTGTCCAAAAGATAGCTGTGATTACTTAAATGTGAGTGCTGTTTGGAACTGTGGTATTTCAGTCATTTATAGAGGTACAGGCATTTGAAGTTCAGTTCAAATTAAAATACCGTAATGCAGAAGCCCTGGATCTAATGGAGTTCCAGGAGTGATGGCGCTGCACCAGGACAGTCAAGTGGTCAGATGGTTTTGAGAACTACTGAATTATCTTGAAATATGTGCTGGTCTGTCACCTGTCCTCGTGTGGAATGTCAAAATGCATCTGGCACCTTGGGCTTTGTGAAACTGGAATGAAAACACTGATAGCTGTTGGAATAACAGAAGGCGGCATTAAGTATTGATGCTTTTATTTAAATCACTCCTGACACTCAGTTATTGATTTAAAATTGGATAGAGTGTTTCTGTTAGGTTTTACTAAGTAACATCTTCAGTCAGAATTTTAAAACTAGGAAGTTAATTCAGTAAAATGAGGATATTTCTGGGGTTGAGTAACATCTGTGCACACAAGCAGAATAGCTGGTTAGCACTTCAGATTTGATCAAATATGCAGGAAAACTCCCTGTGAGAACCTGTCATGTCTTGGCATTGCCAAACACGGTGAGCTTATGTATTTTTAATAGTTCTTAAACATTGAAAAATACTATTCTTTCAGACAAATTCACTGTATTCCCATGAATTTGGAGGAAGTGGTAGTTGTTTAAAACAGACTGGAAACAATATAGTCCGTATGAACACCATCTATCAGCCCAGCTCCATTGTTATGAACAAACCAGCACGGAACATCAACACCCTGGTTAGGATCTCTCCCGTAGTCCTTCTGCCAGCCCCTGGAAGGGAAAATAATGTCAGTACCGAAGCAGAAACTTGCACTTTAACAAGGTAACCTTTCCTAAGTCTTTGCTAAGGACTTAATTATTTTTTACCTTGTTACTGTCAGTTCATTGTTTTTAATAATCATTGTGGCATCTGGTTTCTTGGGATCAGACCCACGATGAATTTCAAGTATGGTGAAGTCAATGGGGTGGAAAAACTGTCCTAAAAATACAAGCCAAAATTACCATTTCAAGCATTTTGCACATGTTAAAACAGAAGCAAACCAAACAGAAACCCTGGAATTTCTACATTCCCCTGCTGTTTGCCATGTCCCCTCAGGATTTTGAATGGAGAAGCAAACACCAAGCTTTGTGTAAGGCTGAACATATGCCTCGGGTATTATTTTCTTTCTATAAACTAGAATTCTACACATATCGTCTGGATTTAAGTTATGCACAGCACTCAGATATCTTTTAGATATCTTTTAAGATATCCTCACTTTGCATCTTTTCAGTTGTATTTATTACATACTCTCCAAGTCTTTAGCTTTTTTTTTAAATCAAATAATGTATGTGTTGATCTCTGAAATTTTTTGATGTGATTATGCTCAGGACAAGGCTGACATCT